ATATATAACGTATAAAGCCATGTTATTTTTGCTAAATAATAAGTTAACAGATGGCGCCTCATACATTCCACACCTATCTTATTTGATACAATCATAAAAGCTGTTTGCGGTAATAAAACGCTAATTTCTACCATCAGCAATAACATTGTAGAAGAATCCCAGCTAACACTTTAACGTTAAAAAAACGATATAAAAACGTATGAGTTTGGTTCAAAAAACGTTTTAGTAAAACGTTTCGAAAAAGTAATTTTGTGGAGTTTTGGAAGCGTTTAAATAACGTTTTAATGTAACGTAACTTTGTTCTTGTATCACGTTTTAAAAACGTTTTAAAAACGTTTACAAATGGTTTTATTACGTTTGTAAAACGTTATAATATTACGTTTTAAAAACGTAATTATGTGGAGTTTTTAAGGCGTTTTAATAACGTTTCAATTTAACATTCAGAAACGTTATTATAACGTTATTTTGATGTTTTTAAACGTTTTTAAAACATTCTTAAAATGTGTTACAATACCAAAGTCAATGTAAATAGAGTAATTTGTAACTCTAGTTACATTGACTTTGGTCTTGTAACACCTTTTAAGAATGCTTTAAAAACGTTTAATTGGTTTGATTGGTATTGCAAGACTTTTAAACTTGAACAAAGGCTGTACACTGAACCGTGCATATCCTTAGGTCGGCCTCTGGTCACATATAGGATTCCAACTACATCGTGTTAACTTTGATGCTCTGGGACAAAAGAGGTCAACAATACAAAATTGCTTACAATTATATAGCGTTATGTGTTTATCCTTTAATGTTTAATGCGTCCTGTACTGTATTATACTGTAAATTAGCAAAAGCCCCATTTAAATATAGGACAAAAGGATATACAATAATCAACATCCAAAAAAATAATAAATCAAAATCAAGATAGAGTCAAGTGCTGACAATTCTATACTATTTCTGTAAGTACAGTTATTTCAGTCAGTATTTGGCAAGTTCAATTGATTTTAAAAATGTCAAAGAAATATCAAAAATAAACAAGGGGCCTAGTGTACAAAACTCCATAGTGCACACTTAAAAATCTTGGATATTGAGAAAAGCAGATGGCTGCACTCTCTCTGAATCAAGCCTTGACAAAGGAAATTCATAGCTGTTCTGTCACAATGGAACCATTTGCGAAGTAGAATGTTGTATCGGAAACAATATAGAGGATGTGTTACAAATCAAACGCATTCACATAATATTGCTGTCGTCCTCATCGTTGTCTACATCTTCTTCATTACAAACTTGCTTAAGTTTCTGTAAAAAGTGAACACAAAAATGTGTCAATTTAATCTACAGTCGACCTTTTTTGCTTTTTATAATTAATATTCTACATGTAGAATGAGTTTTAGTATTGTTTTCTGAAGTGAAGTGATTTTTCATTACTGTTAAACTTGACTTAACCAATATTCTTTTGAGTATCTCATAGTAAAACATTTGCTATATAACAGCTATAAAAACCATACTTTTAATAGCCCCAAGGTAACACCAACTCAATAGATTTAATTACAAACATATGATCACCCTTGTTAATATATTATTTGACTGCTGAATATTAGTCCTATAAACAAATTCAACAGATTAGAATAATTA